CAAAAATCAGCGCCACAGTGTTCCTAAATTCAATATCTTTCTGTGAACAACCAAAGTTTTACAGACAGATATAACAGGGATCCATATTGGCTTTTTTCTCCAAGTCATCAGCCAGGCAAGTATGCCAGATGACATTCTTGCCCTGGCAAAATTTTACTTGCCCATTCACATACCATTCGATGCACTTTGGTGTGGATAAAATTTGGCAGGACAACATCTTAGTTTCATATATAATCAAAGTGCTGATCAAAGGAATTACCCTTCTTGTTGAGAATTAGAAAAGAAGAAGAAATCTTTTATCAAAGAAATTTTGATCAGCAAGGCTGAAGATGTCCGTAGCAAACGGTTTTGGGTTCCTTTATTTCTGAATGACAGTAACATCACGGTACTGGAAACGATAGTTACCATGAAATCCTAGGGGTTGCAAAAGAACAGCACATAAATGGAAAGTCTACTTTATTATTTTTTTCATGTTACCAGTCTCCCAGTACATCATGTCCGTAGTTGCGGCTGTTGGCAGACACAGAAATACCAGGTACAAGTGAAAACCAAGGCCTCTTTGACTGCCAAGAAGGCTGAAAGGAAAGCTTTTGCTCTTCCTGCTCATATTTAGCTTGTTTTTTCTTAACACTACTAAACACCATATTCTGAACAAAACAACCAAAACAGCTGATGCGCTTGCACCACATCAAACATGTTTTCGCGGATGCAGATGCAGTAGAGAGCATCAGCGGTTGGCAAAATGAAAATTGAGCCTGTAATGATTTCATTCATCCCGTCACTGAAGTTGGCCGATCAAAATGACGCTTTTATCCTGAAAGAAAGCTGCAAATCTTTCTGTTTCCTACAAGTTCCAAATGGATAACAAGTGGTCAGAATCCATACCATACCACGGGCGGCATCTTGGAATTCCGAGGGAGAGGGGTTTTCTAGGACTGGAATTCTAAGGCATAGGGGGTAACGCAGTTTGGAAATCCAAACTCATTGGGGGGCGGGGTTTCAGCTCTGAATTTCCAGAGGGGGAAGACAGGCGAAAGCTTCGTTTGAAATCGCTGATCTGATAACTTTTCCAGTTTGTAAATCATCAGGCACGAACCGACCGCTGAAGCAGGATAAAGATTGATCTGATAGGTGCTAGTGACCATGTGGATTGTGCGGCGAGCTCCACATCAAAGAGGCCTTAAAGTTGACGAATTAGTCGATAGATTAATAAAATATAACACAAGTCTGTGTTTCTTTCCAATCTCAAATTGTTGATCCGTGAGAAATACTCGCACCAGTCTCTCGTTTCCAAATGGAACGCCTGACAGATTTGTAGGTTGCATTACTAGTGGTCAGCAGTTCCTCAATGAACACAATTTTCAATATGGCGCGAGATGGCACATCATGAACTTCACTTTTGTCTTCCACTGGTATCATTATGAACTACTCTCCTGAAAATATGAAGCTAATGAACTGAAAACAGAAAGTTTTACTTGGTGGCAAGCAACTTAAAGATAAGACTTAGACGGGAAAGCTACGGTGTACTTTATTAAACATTAACAAACTTGAGTTGCTTGTTTGCTTGACCAAAAATTGTGAGTGGAATTTTCTTGGAGGGGGAAAAAGCGCAAGTTTCCTGTTCAGTGGAAGTTTTAGGCAGTCGAATGGGAATTCCAAAGGGTCCGAAAAAAAATTGAAAATTCCAGAGGGGAGGAGGGTTTAACAATTTTGGAATTTGGAGGGCATGGGGGGATAGAGCATTTTGGAATTTCCGCCCGTGGTAGGGTATGGATATTTCCTGGAATCACCCAATGCAGGAAACCGATAACAAAATTTAAGACACAGGGCTCGACACTAATGGTGGCCAACTAGCCACAGACTAGTAGAAATTTAGTTTTGGCTGGTAGGTTTTCAATTTCCACTAGCCACTTTGGCTAGTAAACAAAATTAAATTGGCCAAACTAACAAACACTTTTCTCGGAAACAAGGTCAGAATTTCATTGTGGACGTACATGCACCATGTTACTGGGTACGTGGTGTCCAGCACGTATGCAAATTTAAGTTTGTCTACTTTTTGCTGTGTGGTACATTACATGTGAATGGGTAATTGAATATGTTATGTTGAAGGAAATATTGGCAAACAACAAGACAGATTTTTCTGAAGCACACATCGATGTCCTTTTTTGTTATGAAATTAGCAGCACAAAACAAGAGCTTCCTGACAAGATCATGTGCAAAATCATGTGGAAATCAACATTTAAATCAGCGGCTTTCAGCAGTCGAATTTTGCCAATGGCAATTTGCAGTATCGTTCAGATAGTTGTTTTGCTTTTGAAACATTTCTACAGGTCCTACGGTGCCTGTCTTTGAAGAACTCTCAACAGTTTTTACAATGATGTCTCATGGTCTCGATGTTTTTCCAAGTAAGTCTCAAAGAAAAACAGTCATAAAAGTCTTTTCGGGAAAATCCCTGGATTTTCCTGTCTTTGTGAACTGTCACCCTGAGAGAGTTGATGTGATGAAACACTTCAGAGAGTCGCTTGCGCTGGGCTTACAAGCGTTGCTAGTAATTCTGCTGTTATTGGACCCAGTCAACATCGATGCTTGGCTAGTAAAAGAAAATTTTGGCTAGTAACATCTAAATTGTCACTAGCCAGTAGGCTAGTAATTTCAAAAGTTAGTGTCGAGCCTTGAAGACATTTTTTTTTCTGGTAGAGGCAAACTAAACTCGTCCAGCGGAAGACTTTCTGTATTGTTTTGATTGTCCCTGTGATTTTTTTGGCATCACAGACGACCGGACGACGGCGAATATGGATCCCTGGACATAATATAATGACAAAGTCAAATATTTTGCTGTGGATTATTTGATTTCCTTGCTTTATGGTTAGCAAGTAGATGTCCCCTCTAAAAACTTTGATTTGATGACACGTTGCATGACTGTGCCAGTTTTGGTAAACTCACAAGTTTAATAGAACTAACACATTTTTCTTTGCCTTCAAAATTCATGGTAAACATCTCGTTTTCACATTTACTGGCGTTTAAGCATAAATACTAAATTGTGAAAGTATAATTTTGTTACTGTATTCTAACCTGGAAGCATGAATATTAGCTAAGATTTGCACTAGCATGTCGGTTTACCGACAAACAAACTCTGGGCGATTGGCAACTGATTTGAATATTTCCACTGATGAATAAAGATTGGCAACATTTAGCTTAGTTCAGGCTTACTCTTATAGATCTTGGCTTCAGAGCACTTTTCCACTTTTCCAGTCTGTATCGGGACTGCATTCTCTTTTTTGTCAAATGTAATCATAGTGAAAAATTTGAATGCAACCCAGTTCATACAACACTTCAAAACCTTGAAACAACTAAAGTAGCCAGAAAAGAGAAGAATGACATAGCAAATGAACACGAAAACGAGGCCCAAAGCTACTGAAAAAACTTAGAGGGGTGGCCAATTTGCAGTCTTCAAAAAAAAAAATCAAATTTTCCCAGCTGCAGACAGACCTAAAGGAAATTAGGATGCATTCTTTTGGTTCAAGTCTGAATCTGTCAGGTGAATTATTTTTCAATGATTTGGACACTTACGATGGAGAGCAATTCCATTGAAGGTCCCCCTCTAATCAGTGTTTAATTTGCAGGTACTTTTTTTTACAGACAATGTCTATTTGTGAAAGTCAAGAAGACTAGAACACAAATTACTTAATCTGGGATCCACGGCCCCTGGGCAGAGGGGTTTGGGGAATCCATATAAAAGGGACAGGGGTGTTTGTTGTACCCTTTTAGGCATTAAAAGAGTGGATTTGGTCTCTCTTAGGGTGTTTGGCCTCAAAAAATCTCACAGCAAGAGCTTTTGCGGTACCTTTTAGGGCATTAAGCCAGAAAATGATGGTGTCAGTTAATGTGTTGCTTTGAATTGGTACCTCTTAGGGGTGAAACAAATTTCAAGTTACGCCCATGTGCCCACTAAACAGTGTCTTGGTACCTTTTAGGGGTTCTTTTCAATATTTCGGATGAGCACCCTCATCCTTTGTATATGGGAGTCCCCCCCCCCTAGGGTCCAGGTTTCAAACCAATAGGTCAGTACTTCTCCTAAACTTTTAGAAACTCTGTCTTAATTTCAATTAAAAACAAAAAGATGAACAGTAGGCAGTCCACAATCTGGGGTATTAATTCACCTAGTGTTTGTTTGTTCTTGCTCCATAACCTGTCACTATATTCCACAAACCACCAATACTTCCCGGAGACTAATGAGTCCACTCATAAGAATAGCTAGATTATGGCCTAATTAGCCTGATAGAGTGCAACACAAAGTATAATTTTATACGTACAGTACTTCACTTGCATTCATATTTTCTAAAATATTATGCTCAATGCAAAGGTTTCTTCCTTTTTCTTCATTTCACCATTATTTTCTTTTGTAAATTGTCACAACTGCTATAGCCTTGCAACAAAACAGTGTGAATCAATGACTAATGAGCTTTCCTTATTCAACTGCATGCTAATTAAGTTTGAGTGAAAACAGTTGTCTTGCCCTCTATAACCTTTGTTTTGTACCAAATATAACGTAAGAAATCTTCTCTGAGAGCTGCCAACGATGAATTTAACGCGACACCAGTACATGAACTTGAGTACAAGCTTTCGCAAGCTCGTTGATGTAACACAAGATGTTTATATTAATTACAACCAAGCGAACACAAATTTCTCACTCCATTGATGATCTGCCAAATTGTACGTCTAAATCGCCGTCTCTAGTTTTAATGCTGAAAGAACTTATACTTGCATGGAAAAACTATCGAAAATTACGCTAATTTATAGTCAATCGAGTTTGAAGTGACATGCAGCTTGCGAGCTTCAAATCCTCGAAAACCATGTGAGTTTCGATTGCCGTCACATCTCTGAAGAAATTTACGACCTTACCCATCCCTATAGTATACTTAGCATACCAGAAAGAATTCAAATATGTATCTGAGCTAGAAAACGTAGAAGAGATCCCCAATAAAAAGAGAAAAGCTCACCTCAGTAAGAGCATAGGCCATTGTTCGGCGACAGTCCAGCACACTGAATGAATATGGCGCGAAAAACGCGCGCTTACCACGAATTCCCAGCATGCATCATCTCCCGCGTACACAGGGCCCATCACGTGTCACTGAGAGCTTACACCACGTACTACCCTGATGGTGAGTTGAAACCAATACGGCCAAATTTTCATGGCCCGATGTGACCGTGAGGTCTTTACGGAAAAATCTCAGACCGAGACTATGGCGTAATGACCGAGCGCGTTATAGCGAGGTCAATACGACAAGGCCGAGGTTTGAGATTTAGCTCTTATTAACTGAGCTTAGTCGGTCTGTAGGGGAGAATCTTGACCGAGGTCGTGAGTACAGACCGAGGTCAAGATTCTCCCATACAGACCGACTAAGCTCGGTTAATAAGATGTTAATAATAAGGCAAACAAGGACAATTTTAAAATTCGTTTAGTATAGGTAATCATACGGTTTCGAGTTCAATTTGGAATTAATTTGCACGAGTGAGTTTTTCAAAAATTTGAAATCGCACGAGCCGCTTCGGCGAGTGTAATTTCAGCTTTTTGAAAAACTCACAAGTGCAAATTAACTCCATATTGAACGAGAAAAACCGTATGATTACTTATTAATAATATAAACATGAAAAAATTCGCGCGGAGGAAGTGCCGGAAGATCTTTCTTGAAGCC